CTGCTGTGGCTTTGATCGGAACTATTTTCGTCAGCAAAATTTAGCAAAAACAGTCAATAATTTTTCTAAAATCTAAGTCACTTAATTTTAACTTCTTGTTTATTGAAATACTATTGTATAAAATCAGTGTCACATTGCAATCATGTTGATATTGATATTCGGGGAAACATCATGGCCGTATAATGTTGCTTACCTAAATCATGTTTTGTAAATATATTTATTTTTTTTTACCGCAGTATGCATCTATAAATTTCTGTTTGTTACTTTGTGTGTGCTGTCTCTCTCACACACTCACTCAGGCTGTGCAAGCCTCATCTGGCACGACATAAATACATTATCAGTCACCGTTTACACTGAATTCAATTAAAATTAGAATCAAACTCACGCGAAACGACATGTTTACATGCGACTGTGAGTGTGCACGTGGCTGTGACGTCATTGCCTGCGCCGCTGGCAATAAAAGGATCAGCTCGGAATCGGCAAGACGTGAGACTGACAGGCCGGTCACCGATCCGGGGCGATCATGCGAAAAATCAGCCGATTCTGATCACTGGCCGATCAATCGGTGCATCTCTACTTTTATTTTACATATTTGCTGTGTTACAGTAACACCAGTTCATAGGTGTGTGTGTGTGTGTGTGTGTGTGTGTGTGTGTATAAGTGTGTGTGTTGGTTTTGCACTCTTGATGATTCTCAGAATGTTTGTGTTTTTGTCGATTTCCCATTAATTTCCTATGGTCGGTCATTTTTGACTGAAGACCACAAGTGAGACTATTTTTTTACGACCACTTAGTCTGCTCGAATCATGCCCTCAATTTTTTTGTGGGTTCACATTCCAAATGCCATAAAAGTCACCAAGTTTCGTACCATTCTGATGAAGCTGTGATTTTTAAAAATTCAAAACAGAAAATATTTGACTTTTGACCGAAGAGCACCAGAAGAAATCTAAGACATCTTTAAGACATGCACAAATAAAATACAGTATGTCCATACAGAACAAACCTATACAATATCAAAATAAATCATGCATCTCAGATTATTTTGCATTCAATATATGTATTGTAAATTTGTTTGTGTACTAATATATCAATACATACAAATTAGAAGTTGATCGATATTGTATTTTGCCGATACGATAATAATGAGTTTTAAAAGTATTTACTTGAAAGATGCCGTGCTCATATTTATTTAATTAAATTTTGTTTAATTAAATAAATATTTTATTTAAATAAAATATTTTGTATAATAAGGTTGCGATTAATAATAAAATGTGATTTGTTTAATCATCACATTAGGGTATATTGTGATTCCTGTTTTTCTGTCCCCAAATTTAAGACCTCTTAAAATGATAATTAGGACTTTTGTATACCATTGAAGATATTCAAGGCTTTTTATGACCCTAAATTTGACTTGAATGAATTTAAAATACTTTAAGACTTTAAGGACCTACGGGAACCCTGTAAAAACACTGAAAGGACTTATAGAAAACACTTAGGCTAGTCATGGAGAGGCAATAGCTACTGACCAAACCGTGAGTTTCTACAAGTTAAAAGGTTGGGGGCCATTCACACTCAAAGCGCACACACATAAGACCGCCTCACATACAGATCACGAAATCAGGCTTGTGCTGTGTGTAAACTATTGTGCAGCAATTGCCCCATTGTAAAAACAAAAATGCACTTCATGATCAAACATTTAGGTGAGATAATTACATATTTTTTTAAACAAAGGTGACCCCACAAGAGTCACCTAAGAGGGGAAATTCCTTCATTTTCAAAAATGAAATTCAGGCCCTGAATGAATGTCTGTAAAAATCCTGATTGGAGCATCACTATAAATAATTCTACATGATAAAAAGAAGGCTTCAAAAAGATCGGTATCAGTAGATACTGCTTCCTGAGGTCGGTGATCAGCTCCAAAAATCCGGATCGGAGCACCCTTACCAGAGGCTTTTTAAACACATTCCATCTGAATGTCTCTATATTAAGGAATGCAGGCTAACCTGCACACTAGTGGAAAAGAGAGCAAATCTTTCCACTTGACAGGCATTTTCACTCTGCTGATATGGCAGGTTTTATAGCATGACTACCACAAGAGAGAGGTAGACAGACAACTAGACACCTGTTGTCAAGCAGACACTAATACACAAAACTACAGTGAAAACAATCGACGGAAAGAGGCTATGGTCTAAGGAAAGCACTGGAAAACCTTTCAAAGTTCAGCAGAGGAAGTGCGTACTATGCCTTTAAGGAAGATGTATAATAATACTCTTTGCTCCAAAACAACCCGATCCAGCCAAATATGAGAAAAGCAGTTTAAGCAACAGTGTGCTGGCTTGGATTAGCATAGCAGCTACAATTACAAACATGCCTGCTGGCTGCTTAACAGTGACACTTAGTTATGTTTAGCTGTGCAAGCACCACTAATTTGTAGTAAAATATGTAGTAAAAGTGTAGTATATAAAATATATCATCATACTTCAACCACAAATGAAACATTTATCACAAAATAAGATACTGACAATATTGGACCACACTGACTTTCACTGTAAGAAAAAAAAAAGACATTTTTCAAAATATCTTAGTTTGTGTTCCACAGAAAGTCATACAGGTTTGGAATGACATAAGGGGGAGTGAATGATTACAGAATTAGATTTTTTGGGTGAACTACATTTTTAAGGTTAGAAAACCCCAATTAAGCCAACACTTTAGTGCATATATGCTATAGACATAAATAATACCTCAAATCATGTGACCTATTGAGGAGATAGTTCTCGAGTAAAAAGTCAAATTGCTTAAGACACACAATGCAACCAACATTTGTTGTGATGCAGAAAGGCAAGTTACAACTTGTACTGCTGAACAAACCCTCTTGAAGGTCATAAGGAATTTGAGAGCTATGACTGTTAAAGTAGATTTGCTGACAACTTGAATACTGCTGCTGGCAAGACTTACAATCCTTTTGCAGGCTGACAGCCTCTGGCATCATTCAAGGCAAATATTAACATTTTTGGAATGGTCGCAAATTCACACATTCACATAGTTAATCAACTTTTTTTGAATGCATACACAATGTTAAAAATCAGGTTTACCTGCTGCTCATCTACTTCATAGAAGTTCTTCTTCAGCCCTAAACAGCTGGTGCAATTGACACATACAGTCCAGGACGTTTCAAATGCCCAAGGCCTCAGTGATCAAAGCCTCTTTATACAGGAGACAATGAGGTTAACAGAGGCACTGCAAATTAAATCATCAGACCTGTCATTAAAGAAAATGACATAATGCCAAAGAGCACTTCCCTTCAGCTCATGGGAGCATCCTCGGAAATAATTACCACCAACAAACAAGCATTAATTAAACCCTTGCCTAACCACTAAGCTGGAAAAACGGATAATAAGTAATTTTGCTGCCTTCCACACTACGTCAAACCTGACAAACCTCCAGGGATTTTGTGAGAATGTTTTGGTCACTGAAGAAGATACATCAGAGGAGTAATCAACAAGGTGATTACTATAATCATGGTTATCTTCATTTTTATATCAGAAAACAGACAAAAGTACACATTCCCTCTTACATTTCAATATAAATCAAGAGTTTTTAGTCACAAAATGTTATTATATGATCATATTATTATTATCATCATCATGGTTCCCATACATATTTTTTAGCAATGGATTTCCATAATTATTCCAGTTGTTCATCCTGTTCAACTTTTTAAATATCATTTTAAAGAGTCTCAAAAAAAGCAATTTCTCAATGATGAAAAATTTTAGGAGAAACATTTATATTCACTGTAAAATTTAAAAAAATCAGGATACTCTCTACAAAAATTTCCAAATTAATTTTTACAATTACATTTTCTGTGCCCTCAGGAAACATGCATTATTATTATCATCATCATCATTAATACTAAACTTCATAGCAAAGCTTAAGTAATACTTCAAAATAACTTAAGAGATAAATAACTACTGATAGATAAATAACTATTGACCTACATATCAGTCAGGTGAGTTGACTGGTCAACAAAAGTGAAATTTCACATTTGTGAAAAGTTGCAAATTTTCAAATTATTTTATCAATTTAAGCGCACATTTTCAGTTTTCATATTTTTGTGAATATTAAGCATTGCATTAAATGTTCATCAATTTTACATTTTAAATTGTATCTGTCATATTTGCCACAATTAAACTGCTTTATATCTACTTTATATAGTCATCTTCCACCTCTATATCTATCCGTTTTAGCAATAGCACCTGAAAACCCTACATAATACCATTAACAAACAGCATTACACTGTATAACGCTTAACAAGTTAACAGTTACAATTACATTATTATTATTATCATCGTCGATGTTACTGTCATTAATATATCACACCATGGAAAAATCAAGCTCTAAATATTAAAAATCCATAAATAGCCAATCAAAACACTTCACATCTACTATATATACAGCATGTCAGAAGGACAGAAAGAAAACCTCAACAGAACTGGGTAACTGGTTAAAGCTAGCGAACTTTCTCAAAAAAATTCCCATTACATCAAATAGACACGATTCACCTATTTAAGACACCAAATCAAGTTCGCAATGAATGACTGCCTGCTCTTATATAATAATGATCATTTTAAAACAGGAGTAATAAAACAAGTGGAATAGACTTTGGCTGTTCGATTTGCGGTTGGTCAGCAAACTGCAACGTAGGACCTACAATTTGAAGAGTAAGCGGTACTGATGCATGTCTGTATACTCATACAGCTGCGGGTCATGATAATAAACATCAGATCATCCCTGCTAACAACAGGCCATCAATAATCATCTGTCTGGTTATATCGTCAGACACGCTCACATTCCCTACTACCCGTAATCACGCCACTAATGTGTTGCCTGTAACACGCTTTAACCTCGCAAGGATCTAATGAGTCTCAGTAAACGCAGCAAACCTCACTGACGTGGTTAATGGTTAGCCGACTAGCCAAGAAAATTCAAATAGATGCCGCTCACCAAATTTGAGAGCTCTTGGTCTGTCGGCAAGTGACAGGTCCGTTATCTGACAGTCCTGAATGAACGGAGGGACATGGGGGTAACCCGTTTAAAACCGAGAGACCGGATGGCTTTCTGTTTTTTCAGTCTTGACCCATTCACAAGACTGCAGCGTGGAACTAACACACAGGGCGGGGGGAGATGGCGTCATTAGTGAGCGCCGCCCCGCGAAATTACGAAGTCTACTTAATATTCAGCAGCCAGAACCTTCGCCATTGGACGGCGAGAACGAATGCTTATTAAATATTCATTAACAAGCATCTCCCATTGGAGCAATTTCGGAATAACCTATTTAATATTCATAAAAAGTCGCTGCCAGTACAATTCTTTTGAAGAGAATCTGCTTTGCGCTAGTACCATCCATACAAAGGTTAAGAGAGTTTAGATTATATTTTAATACTTTGAATCGAGGTCTATACGTGAGCAGTTCAACACTCTTACCATTTAGTAAGTTAGATGTAGTTAGAAGGTAGATTATTTTAATAAATGGAAAAACTGTCACAGGTGCTGCTCGTGGCGAATCTCTCGTTTTCAGTTAATCATGTCGCTCGTCTTTAATAATTTACTTATCAAAGTGTACTGTGTTTTATTTCAGTTATATTAAAAGCCCATGGTGAATGCATTCATGAATGCAAATGACTGTTTTTCGAGCCGGTCTCTGACGCAGTGGATTTACATAAGGGTCAGACGAAAAGGGATTTTCAAGAAGTTTAATACATCTTTATTGTTTTTCCATACATTAGAACATGTTCTGATTCATTTTATTGATGTATTTTCTGAGCAAAAAATAATGACTATCATTTTTACCATGATTTACAAAAAAAATGACTCCGTTATTGTCCTCTTTGCATTATTGACAAACTATTTTCCTGTTTGACACTGTAAAGCTGCTTTGACACAATCAGTATCGTATTAAGTGCTATACAAATAAAATGAAAAAAGAAGACGACACCTATGTGTCAGTGTGAGGTATATTTAGAACCACATTCATTAGATGACAGTAAGACACAGTGCAGCCCCCAAAAAAACTAATAATTGTAGTTTAAAATCTTTACCAATGTTTGCCACAGTGTTGGGGGAAGTTACTTTTAACAGTAATGCATTACAATATTCGTTACTCAGAAAGTTACTAATTACGTTAGTTACTTTTTATGGAAAGTAAGTTACTGTTGTGTTACTTTTTCTCATCTGGACTAATCTGGGCTGGATGGAATGTAAAAGCCTTTTCACACCGAAAGTGAAATGAATTGACCCTTTTCACCAGACTGTGATGATGTGTTTAACGGTAATCCGCATCGTAAATCCTCGAAAGTTTTTTCATATTTGTATTTTTTTTTTATGTATGTACATTTATAACACTATTCTTTGTATTATATCACCTTTGCATCAAATTACAAAAAACAGTTAACGCTAATGCGAGGGTGTTTCTAATGCAGCGTCTATGGGAGGGATGGTAAATTTGACATTGTTCTCTCTTCTGACTGCTGTTATCAGTCTCTCTCAATTTTTTTCCTTTTGTTGAAAGTCACGAAAACACTACCGTGGAGTTTTTCTTTTGCTATTTGAGCAAATGGGAATGCAAAAAATATATTTCTGGTACTCTCCCATTCCCTGCTCTTCAAGTTAACCCAACTACGACGACTTCCGCTGCTGAGAAACCCGGAAACGTGAAAAGGGTCCATAAGCCTCAGGCTGAAGGAAATGTAAATTCACGTCTGTACAGTAGAGGGCGCAGCTCAAACAAACCTTTCAGCTGTGCTACCATTCTGGACTGCATGAAGAATAGGGTGTAAAAGAAGAAAGTTCAACGCTCTTCAGAATGAGAATCAGAATCACGTTTATTGCCAAGTACTGTATGTATACATGTACGAGGAATTTGTCTTGGTAAATTGGTGCTTGACACAGACAATGGAAAAACAAGAATAAATAATAGAACAATGAGATAAACAATTTTAAATAAGACAAGTAAAAGCTATACAATAAGAGCAGAAACAAATCAGGAAGATAAAAATATAAAATACAAAATAAACACGAACATTAACTCTACATTTGTGCAGAATATGTAAAGTGGGGGAGTGCAAATGTTCACAGTTGAAACTTAAATTGTACATTTCTGAACATTGTGCAAAACGTGCAGCGAGGAGCCAGTGCAAAAGCTTACAGTCTGGGATGTGAGAATATAGAAGCCGTTATAGAAGAGTTGTGTGTGTTAATGTAACACGTGTGAAAACGTGTGTGTGTGTGTGTGTGTGTGTGTGTGTGTGTGTGTGTGTGTGTGTGTGTGTGTGTGTGTGTAGTGTTTATTTATTTTATTGAATGTGAAGTGTAATGTCCATGGGCGTGAGTAAGAAGCCCTGATGGGTCATGGGTATTGTTGATAAGGACAGTTGCGGATGGAAAGAAACTGTTTTTATGGCGTGAGGTCCTGGGTCCTGATGGACCGCAGTCTTCTGCCAGATGGGAGTGCTTCAAAAAGTTTGTGTCCAGGGTGAGAAGTGTCAGCCACAATCTTAACCGCCCGCTTCAGGGTCCTGGAAGTGTACAGGTCCTGAAGAGATGGAAGGTTGCATCCGATTACCTTCTCAGCAGAGCAGATGACACATTGCAGTCGGCCTTTGTCCTTGGCAGTGGCAGCAGCATAGGCTACCAGATGGTGATGGAGGTGGTGAGAATGGACTCAATGATGGAAGTGTAGAAGTGAACCATCATTGTCTTTGGCAGGTTAAACTTCTTCAGCTGCCTCAGGAAGTACATCCTCTGCTGTGCTTTTTTCATTAGAGAGCTGATGTTGAACTCCCACTTGAGGTCCTGGGTGATGATGGTGCTTCTACTGAGGAGTTACACAGGATAATGGGGGCAGGTGGGGCTGGGTTCTTCCTGAAGTCAATCACCATCTCCACTGTTTTTACAGCATTGAGCTCCAGGTTGTGCTGATTGCACCAGGTCACCAGATGGTCAATCTCCCACCTATAGGCAAACTCATCCCCATCAGAGTAAACTTCAGTAGTTTGACAGACTCGTGGAGGTGCAGCTGTTGGTGTACAGGGAGAAGAGGAGAGGAGAAATAACACAGCCTTGAGGGGAGCCAGTACTGATGGGTCGGGGTCAGAAACATGTTTTCCCATTCTCACATGCTGCTTCCTATCAGACAGGAAGTCTATGATCCACCTACAGGTGGAACCAGGCACATTCAGCTGGCAGAGCTTGTCCTGTAGCAGAGCCGGTATGATTGTATTGAACGCAGAGCTGAAGTCCACAAATAGGATCCTGTCGTAGGTTCCTGAGGAGTCCATGTGCTGAAGGAATAAAAAAAGAGAAAGAAACACAAATGTTATGTTTAAGTATTTTTTTGCTTATTAGTATGGTTTGCATCATATTCTGAGTTTGCATTTCACTGTTTATGTGTTTATTAATTTTATGATATACTGATTGTTTTTTTGTGCAAGTGAGATGAGTAAATGCATGTTCACATTTAGTCTAGTGAGTTCCAGCAAAGAGTATAGAAGACCAAGAGGCTCTGTAGAACACTGCAAAAGCGGCGCCCAGCAGCAGCCCTGCGCTTCCGCCATTTTGGGGTGAAAGCAACTCGGCAGTCCACTAGCTTGCTGTCGCTATGGCATATCAGCTGCTTTGTTTAAAAAACCGTACATTAAAGCTGAAATACAGCCTGAACGATGACAACAATAACGTACAATCACTAGACTAGTGATCATCAAATCCTTTTAACAGTTTATTTTACAGACTTTATTTTAAAGTCTTCCCTTTTTTCACAAAACCGTTTGCTCTCTATATAGAAACCATGTCAGTTTCGGTTGAAAATATTTTAAGTTCAAGTGTTAGCATTATAAACACTGAATTAATACCAACATATGAAATTAAATTAATGACAGAAAAATTAGGAATGTTGGATAATAAATATATAAACAAGAATATAACAGCTTGAAAGTAAACTGTTTTTGCAGAATTGTCTTATAGGCTATTAATGTCCGTTAAAGGAAGACTGTAAACAAAACAAAAAAACTTTTTTATGTAAAAAAGAAAACATGTACAGCCACTTTCTCCAAAATTGTTTAATTATTTCATTATGACAAACAAAGCAATGCATCTTGTTCTAATCGAGATCATCATGTGTTTCAGGGGATTAAAACGTACAACATATATTTCAGACCTGTGGAGTAATAGTAAATAATAATATAGTAAGTAGTTGTGAATGTGTAAAGTTGCATAAGCTCATTACTTGGTTCTATGGCTACGACCTGCAGTTCCTAAACGGATTTAAAGTGCCCCTATTATGCCTTTTCGAATATTAATCTCTGCTTATATGCAATTCTCCAAAGTAGCTAACACTGTTTACATGTAGTAATATGAAAGATAATAAGCAAAATAAATGTAATAACGTAATACTGATCTTCTTCATTATGTTATGTGCAGGGAAAAACGCATGAAATTAAAGTTGCCTAAAGTTCGGAGATGGTCCTCACTGCAGAACACAAGATCCAGGGGGTGAGGTTGGATCCAGATCCAACTCCTCCCACCTTACATATACCTAAACCTACCCATCTCCACCCCCTGATCCCTAAACCCACCCATCTCCACCCCTAAACCTACCATCTCCACCCCCTAGATGTGGATCCAACCCCGCCCCTGAAACTTTGTTCTGCAGTGAGGGGCTACTGAAAGTTTGCGCGGCGCGGTTTTAATTGATCCGCGCCGCGCTGTCCATTCAATGGCGCTAGCAAACATTTACTCCCTGCGCTATCGAGTCGGTCGCGCAGCTCAGTCCATTGAGCTGCGCCTTTGACAGGTCAGCGCGAACTCTGTTACATAGCGTTGTTTCGTCCCACTTTCTGTGTGTTTGGCTTCCCATTGTAATGGCTTTGAGTAACTCAGAGGGATGCTTGTACTCCATATGGGTTACACGGGGCACTTTTCAACACATGATGGCCATCATTCTACAACCCATGACACTTCGATATGGGTGAAACCAGTGGTGTAGTCTACGTGATACGCAGGTATACGCCCGCCGTATACCCACTAGGAAAGGTCAAGGATTTCCGTATACCCACTTAAAAAAGCGCGAGGATACGTAACGACATCGTTTCATGACAGAACTTTCACACGGT